TTAATTTAACTCAACCTACCAACTTCCTATTAACCATTTCATGTGTCGGTTTGCTAGATTGTTTTATAGAATAAACTAATTCTGCGACATTAAAATGCATCAGGTTCCTTCATTACTCCCAGTTATAACAATGTACTTTCTAAGTACAATGCTATAAATGGCATCACATGGTTGTTAATCTTTTTAATTTTTGTAAAAAAAATTATTTTTTAAAATTCTTTTGTTTGTGACAAAAATGTTGCACATAGACCATTTCTTAAAAATTTCTCTTACATTGTAACGGTGAATTTTTTAGCTTTTTTTAATGTGATGAAAATGTTCTACGGTGATTAAATTATTTTTACAAAACGAAGCTACATAGCTTGGGCCTTGAGTTTTTCTTTGTTGCTGTTGAGTTTCATTCTTTGTGCTTATTCACTATTATCAAAATTCCCTTATAAACACAAGTTCTCACCGGTAAACACAAGGAACATTCAAATATTGAAGCTTATAACTACCATTTGCAAGAAGAATAATGTGTATGTATGTGACTGTGTTCATGTCTCCTTAGTATTTAGTATGTATTTTAATCAGCCTAATACGGTTGCATCATATGGTTTTTTTTTTTTTTGCTAATTTTAATTAATTATACCAAGGTGAGTTTATGTCAATAGATTCTTGGTTCTCTTTTTCTCCACATTCAAGACCTTGCATATGATTCTATCAATTAAATATAGAATTTAATTTTATAAGTTCTTGCCCTAAGATGGAAATGAATGTCATAATTGTTATTTTGCACATGAGAGTTTGCTTTGACACCGATTTATCATATGTTTTTTTTTTGTCTGGTAGGTGTTTATATGAGTTTCATTGTATTTTTTTTATTAATAAAGAGCTCTTTGTAGTTATATTTGATATGTGTTAGTACTTTTAGTAAAGCATGAGTAATAGATAGGTATGATGAGGTTTTATATATAGTTAGAAATAACAATGAACTACATTTCTATTTGATTTTTTAGTTTTCATAAAATCATGCATTCAACATTAGACAAATGATATTATGTTGCTATTTCTTTAATTTTTATTTCTAAAATCTAAGTTATGTTATTTTAGCACCCATGTAGCACACGGGTTTTAACCTAGTTAATATATACGTATTATTAATACTATGGACGTTGTGAGTGGAAAACCGTCGTCCAAATCGTAGCCCTTGAAACTCCTGGAAGATTCAATCTCAGCCGTTTAAACTCATGATTTACGGTTTTCTGCAGTTCCAGTAATCAGTTTCGACTCCTTCTCCCCACCTCCCACGTTCCGCTGCTCTGTAATTCCTCTCACGATCTCCCCTTATTTCTCTCTTGGCTTCACGTATGGAGGTTTCTTTGATTGAAGTATAAGAAAGACTCCACTTCATCTCCAATATTCATGAGAACCTCTTTCTTTCACACATTCATAATTCGAAGCTCCTCTATTTCGTCTCCTTCTTCTCACGCTTGAGATCTTCATCTACAACCCATCATCCCCAATTCATGAACCGTAGCCCCAATTTTTCATTTCACACAACCACTTAGGGATGTCAACGAGACCAAACAGGAGTAGAAATAGCTGCCCCGCCCCCGAAATCAGTTGTTGCCCCCGCCCCCGCCCCCGGTCCCGCCCTCGAATCCCCCGTTTATATAGCCCCCGATCCCGCCCCCGGTTACCTCCATCGCCCCCGGTCCCGCCCCCGTTCCCCCGGTTCCCCTAGTTTATAGGCTTAAAAAACGATTTTTTTTCTACAAAATTGCTTTGTTTTAGGCTAAAAATACTATTTTTAATAACTTTAAAATCTTAAAACCTAATCTTTTAGAAACTAAAAAATTAAAAATCCAACATTACAAAACGACAATTCTAACAATCTTGCAAGTATACAAATCCAACATTACAAATATAAAATACTTACATGTCCAAAAATATATGATCAATTCACTACATCTTCAATATCCATTAAATGGAAACGGGAAAGTGAAACCTAACCTAAGCCTAAAATTAAAAAATCTATTTTGTATATGTATTTGATATTAAATATATATTTTTTACATAAATATACAATCGGGGCCCCCGCGGGAGTACGAGACGGAAATACTGACTCCCGACCCCGGTTCCGAAAATAAACCCCGGTCCCGTGGGAGTAATGGTGATTATGTTCACCTTACAATGAGGTAAATCTTTTCAATTTATGGCTCTTTAGATTGTCTTGCATATGCTGCAGGTTAGGGATTTATGGACATAATCAGGTAGTGGAGGTCCTACATTACAAATATAAAATACTTACATGTCCAAAAATATATGATCAATTCACTACATCTTCAATATCCATTAAATGGAAACGGGAAAGTGAAACCTAACCTAAGCCTAAAATTAAAAAATCTATTTTGTATATGTATTTGATATTAAATATATATTTTTTACATAAATATACAATCGGGGCCCCCGCGGGAGTACGAGACGGAAATACTGACTCCCGACCCCGGTTCCGAAAATAAACCCCGGTCCCGTGGGAGTAATGGTGATTATGTTCACCTTACAATGAGGTAAATCTTTTCAATTTATGGCTCTTTAGATTGTCTTGCATATGCTGCAGGTTAGGGATTTATGGACATAATCAGGTAGTGGAGGTCCTAGACACTACAAAGAAACTCATATTAGCATTTATTGATGACGGAAAATACCCCTATAAACCAAATTGATGGATCCTATAGTTTTCATATGATAACTAAAGATTGCATTAACAGAAATGAGAGAAATGGGCCACATGAAAATGGAAAACCCGTCAACTTCCATGGGAACCAGAGATTATTTGTTCGTTATGATATTTTATTTCTTATGTTTATAGATGGAAATTGAAAACTAAAAATTATTTAACTATTATTTTGTTTTGTTCTAGATGAAGCCTTTAGATATGGTGCAATCCCCATTGTTATAACTATAGGGGGTACAAAATGAAATGTGAACTTTTACTCTATCTTTTTATTATATAAATATCCTCTTCAAATTGATATTAATTAATAATATGGAAATTAGATCTTAGAATCTGATTTATTAATTATAATGTTTTCAATGTTAATGATGATTCCATTCCTATACACCTCAAAAAATGGAATTATCTTTGCGACACCGGATAAACAGGTAAATCTCTGTCAAGTGAGGGCTTATATTTAAGAAAAAAGAAATTAAATTGATTCCTACTTTTTATGACTACAAATATTCCTACCTAATCAAATTATGACAAATGTTATCATTCCATATTTTTTTAACTAACTCATTTAGGTTATATTAGGAATATAATAAAATTAAATTGAATGGTGATTTGTCATAATTTTAATAGGTAGGAATAATTGTAGGCATAAAAAGTATGAGGTAATTTAATTCCTCTTAAGAAAATGAGAACACAATTGGGGAAAAAGAAGGAAAAATAATCGAGGAAAGTTTTTTGTAAAAGTCAAGGAATTTGATTTGAAAGAATCAACCTTCATTGGTGGTGGGAAGTAAAGGGACAGAGACATAGGGAGTGATCAAGTTCCTTTAGCGAACTATTTGCACTTAACAAAATTATTGCACTTCTTGGCCTTTTACAATTTTAGGACATGAAAAAGTAGTGCCCATAGGCATATCTGAATCATTTAATTATTTATGAAGTTAGGCCCGTCTCAAAGGGTGGGCGATAGGGGCGACCGTCCAGGGCACATCTTTCGAAAGTGCCCAAATTTTTATGGAAATTGTTATATTTAGAAGATAGCACAAGTAATTTTCTTTCGGTTATTGAGTTATTATAAAAAACTTAACGACATTTATGTATTTTAAAGGTCCATTTTTTTCTCTGGCTCTGGACCCAAAATATGTTTGGAACGGATCTGGGCCCAAAATATGTTTGGAACGGATCTGTATAAAGTTAAAATATTGATATTTATTGTTTTGTGAACAACCATATATTTTCAAGGGTGGAGAGAATGGAACATAAAATTGGCAATTAATAAGTAATAATAATAATCTGACACAATCATATACATTTCCAAGGAGTGTAGGAGAAAAACAAAGGATGGAGTGTATGTATACACAATTTTTTTGCTTTAGAATTCTTACTTGACTACCATAATTATGTGATTTTGTTAATCTTTGTGCAAGCGTGATATGAACTTATTGTACGGTAAAGAAGTAATTTTTTTTGAAAAATAAACTCATCTTTATGGCAACAAACAGATGCAACAAGATTGCACTTCTTTTAGTTCTTAGTTCTGCCCACTTTTATCATTTACTTTATTATTTACACTCAAAATATAAAATGCATATACAAATAGATTTCCTTTATCTATTATTAAAGTTAATATTGGTAATTAATCATATTTCAGAATTGTGTAGATAGCTACTTTTGTTGATGAAATATACCCTTTTGTTTGATTCACTTTTCAGTGAGCTATTATCATAACATAAGTTTGTCCCTTTATGCACATGGGATTGACATATATATATATATATATATATATATATATACTAGGTACGTTTCAGGGTCATGCTAAGCACGACCCATGGTTGGTCCAAATATACATTTTGGTCATGGGTTAGTAATTGTTTCAGTAAATCGTTTGTTGGTTAGTTTTTAACAAAAAATGTCATAATTAGAAAAAAATGAAAGTACAATGTTATGAAAATAAAAATGAGAGAAAAAAAAACTAAATTGTTAGAAACATGGTGGAGAAGGCAGATGCATAAGCTTTGACATGTTCTTTTGAAAGATGGCCTGCAAAAACTAGAAACATATAATCTATTAAGAAGAAATAAATATCAACTTTGTTGACAATATATCGCCTCTCACACATATTTTCTAGTAATAACAAAGGAACACAAATGTGTTCAATAGTAACAAAATATTCTCCAAAAACGCAACACCAAAAAAGGGTAAATTATGGAAAATAACCCATACTTAATTTTTTGCCCGTAATAACAACAATGAACTTGATTTTTACGTATAAAAACAATGTGCTTATAGGTTACCACTAACATGGGAATCATACGTCTATATTAACTTGATTAAAAAGTTGACGAAATGATTAAATTTGAAATATTAACTGACAAATCAAATAAGGATTGACCATATACACGGTTAATATGAACCTAAATTTTCCAAATGCATGGAATAGGAAATTATAACCACTTGCTCTTAAAGATTTCAAGACAATAAATATCAACTGACACCAGATATATTTTGAGGTGCGATCTAGTTTAATTGAGATATTAATCTTTTTTTTTACCAAAATAAAAAGATTGAAGAAGAAGCAATTTTTTTCTACATCGCCATCATCACCCCTGACTCTAGCTGATGCTTTAATGGATGTTTTAGAGTTATGGACAAAGTTGTTGGTGTCTCTGTTGATGGTGTACAAACTGAATACGCAACAATATTTCCTACCACTCTAGGAGAGGCTCGAGGTGATATCCCTGTGGCCGAGTTTGAGGTCCGGCTAATTGGTTCAGCCATATTATCGAACATATTGGGATCAATCAATCAAAGCCCTTCATTCTTTAAAGAAAAAAAATGCCGTGGAGGCTTGGATATTAGTTGCTTAACGTTTCACTGAATTCTTCTAATGTTTAATTTCACGAAAAAAAAGGAGCAAATAAAACATAACAGGATAAAAAAAACAGGGTCTTACAGTAGAATTTCTGAAGTCTTTATATACACACGTTCACGGGTGTCTTACTATCTTTAGATGACTTAATTTATCTTCATCCAAAAAGATACTCATCCACCTATACAAAGAAACAAAACCATCGTTCAAAATATTATATGAAATAAAAAACATATCACCTGACAACAAACTTACAAAAATAACTAATAAAAATAATATCAACTAAACTTAGCAATTTAATTTTATCTTCTGTATTTTTTCTTACTAAACATAGTCCAAAACTTTTAACATTAACAAAAACTTTGTTTCTCTTAAGACTACTGACACCATCAAATTAAAACTTAACATATAGAAATTTGATAACAACAATATAAATACTTCAGCAACATCAAGAACATGCTTATTTACCAAAGTTTGAATATATAGGGCCCATATGTGAGCATTTCAAATTACCAAATAATAGCATAAAAAACTTGACAACATCAAACGTTTTTTAGAGCAGAAAGAATTGCAAATTACTAAAGAATCTAAATCTAATACTTCTTGGTACCATCCTCACCATTTCAACACCAAACTAAATCCATTGCAAGAAATGGCCATTTTAAATTATTTTACCAGTGAAATACATGTATCATCCTTTGGTGGGCAGGTTTTACTTATAATTTTAAATTAACAACAACGAGAAACCTTAACCAACTTAATGGATCCATTAATTTAAAATAATTCTAATGAAAAAAATGTGTCACAACTCATGAGGAAAGAGCAATGAAATCTCAATACAAATTATTTAAATTAACCATAAAACTTAAAGGGAAAATAAAACTCTAACCAAGTTATTAAAATTAACAATGAAAAAATGTGTCCCCTGAAATCAAAACTTGAAACCCTTTCTCTAACCAAATAGAAAAATCAAACAACTCTAAACTTGAAAAGCCTACGCTAAATAAATTAAGAAATCATATTGTCAATTCAAACTATTTTGACATAGAACTCAAACACCTAGATGGGATTCAAGAAAATAATCAAGTTTTACATGCACAAAACTAATGAAATGGGATTCAAGAAAATAATAAAAGGAACCCCTCATATCGTCTTCATCAATTTTAAGATAGAAGTTATGTTATTAATCATATTGTAAGAAGGTATAGATGTTAACACATACTATTGTGAGCATTCATTATATATACGAAGATAATGTTTAGAAGATTCATGCAGAGAATTTTAGGGATCATTTAATTATAGATACTAAGATACAATTGTGATCATTCATAATTTTAGACACTTCCCAACGTGGATAAATAAACAGAAAAGTTTGAAATGACATAAGAATTGTGTGGAAAACAAAGGCCCAACGTGGATAATTAAACAGAAAAGTTTGAAATGACATAAGAATTGTGTGGAAAACAAAGGAAAAGAGGAAATAAAGCATATACCAAGCATTTTATGACAAAGGCAAAGGGAAACAATGAGTTTATGCCAAGTTAGAGCAAATAACAAACCTTAAATACAAATCAAGAACCTCATTCTTCACAAAATAAGCCTTTTTTTCTTTATATTTAGTTATTTCCACACATACTTATTGCACGATGTCAACTCTCGAAATCAGGAACCTGAGAATTCAAACATCAGTTACATATTTAATAATTTCTTTGTTTGCATATTTAGAGAAAAATATAAAAATCAAAACCTGTAACAAATGCTTCATAAGATTTCTTGAAAACCCAACAAATGTATCTTGAATCTGAACTCACAGAGCCCTAATCTCCTAAACCATCACAACAAAAGCAAATAAGTAATGGAATTGAGATTGGTACACCTTTTTCACTGAAAACTGAAATTGAAAAGTTGTTTGGTCTAGGGTTAAACTAGCACTACCAATGTTCGTCCCACAATCACTCTCTTCACCTCCATCTCCTCTCACTTCCTCTTTACCGATTTCAACATTGACTCAAACTAATAATCTTCATCTTGCGTGAGAAAGGTTTGAAGAAAAAATAGAAGAAAAGTTAGGGTTAAGGGTAAACTGACCTTGAATGCAAGAGACTATTGAAGAAGATGAAATTGATCTTGTTGTTTCAATCTGAACATCCTGCAATGTTAGAGAGGATCCATAAACTACGACTCAGCGACTTCATCTACACCATCACTTTTCAATTTCATGACCAAATTTCCAAATCTCGGTTAAATGAAGAAGGAAAGAAGAAAAGAATAAAACAGGACACTGAAACGCCTTCGAATTGCAACTGAAACGGTAAGAATCGTAGTCGGTGAACTTGATTTGTTTGAAGAAGGCGAATATCGGTGTAACTGAAATCGTGAGGTAGCGTGCATCGACTTTGATGCCCATGGCTTGGAATGTGTCGCATGTGAACCGTATAAATTTGATGCACACAATAGGAGAAAAAAAGTGGTGGACGCTTCAAACATCGTTTGAAACGGAAGAGGAGAGGAAAAGAGAAAAAAAATGTCAAGCGATTAAGAAGAAGATAACAATATCAGGTGATCGTGTCCAATGAGACATCGTTGTTTACTCTCACCTGCTCTTGATCGATTTGCAACAACAATTTATTCTTCAGAGAAACCGATCAACTGTCATCTTCATCTTCTGACAAAACCGAAGGCACCCGTAGAGTATAGAGATGAACAAATAATCGATGACATGTCATACGAAGCCGATAGATTTTAATGACTGCCAATGCACGAGTTGGCATTCAGTTCTCTCTGTTCATACAAAAATGTAAAGAACGCTTGGAGGTCGTATGGTTATCCGAGAGTGAAGATAGAAGTGGTGGTGGATTACAGGAAGAAAAGTCATAAAACATTGGTGGAGTAGGTGGTGCAACATAAGGTAAAGGGTTGAATATGCATATAGGTAAGTTGCATCGTATGGAGGATGTTAGAGGTGTGTAGATTTGTTCTGGCGGCACCAGAAAATTTGGGCTTCCAACCACCAGTGGCACCTAGCTTGATTCTGCTCGACAAAAAGAAACAAAACTGAAATCTCTTTCTACAAATTAAAGAGAAATTAATATGAATAGAAGAAGCGGAAAGTTGTGATTTTTCCGATTGCAACCGCTCCACAAAAGATATCAACATGAAGAAAGAAAAGAGACAACATGGGATGGAGCGATAGTGGTTTAAGCAGAAATTCATGGCGGAGGTAGGATATGGAGGAGACAAATTAAGATGAAGCGGTGATGAGGTATAGACACCCCGATTTTTTACAGAATTTACTGAAAAGGGATTTGAAGTATGTAAAAGAAGCTAACACATGTAGTGTATTACAACTGTATATTGGGAAACCGTGAAATGAAACCAGGTGTCCCAAACGTGTCTTAAGAAGGTTGAGCTAGCAATGACTCGGATTAAAGAAGAGGAACCAAGAGGTCGCCATCTTCTCTTCTTTACCAAAAATCCCGAAAATTCAAAATAAAATCCATAAAAATCAAGGAAAATCCACAAAATTCCTCCTATCACACTTTGCTTAATTCTTATCACCTTGACTTTTCAAATGATAGATACGCACAACATTCGAAAGCTCAATGATTATGAAAAGGTCAAACACCACGCATTAAAACATTAAATTAACCTAAATCACCCAAAACTTGGTTTTTAATTAGTTATTTGAAATAAAACAAACCAAGAAGAAACCTGGCGAAAAGGATCATGAAGGACTGAAGGGTTGGATTGGTTGCTCCTAACGAAGAGCTTACGTTGTTCAAACTTGAGCAGAATAATTAAAGATTTGAACAATGCTATCTATGCATGGCCTCTGTGGTCCTACCAACTCTCCGTAAAACCGCAATACTAAAAGATTCCAACAGGAAAACCCATGTGTAAATCTATGAAAATAGACAAAATATATTTGTTCTAATCTCAAAAACAAGCAGACCGAAATTATGTAATATATTTAAGGTTCAATAATTCAATGTGAGAAAACCTTTAATCAAATAGGAAACAACAATGCGGGAGGCAAGTATGGTGCAATATAGCAGCAAGGAGAGACAGACACGTTTCGATGCGGGAAACATGCAGTTGTTCCACCAACAAAAATAACAGATGCCTTCCTAAGAAGATATCAATAAATTATAAATTCTTGTAGATCTGATCAACAACATTTAGCTCATTCCTGATTTTTGTTGTAATTTATTTCATTGATGTCAACAGAAATAAATGTTCTTTTTCTATTTAGTCTAAAGTAATAGTTTTTTTGCTTGGAAATTACATACCCTATTTGGTTTGGATGTTGGTGTGTTTTTAGTTTGAGTAAATATCATTTTACTTGAAAATGCCACACAAATTCAGATTTTGTCTTCTTGCAACGTTTATTTAATGTTTATACCAGATATAAATGGGTCTGTAGATAAGAAAAGGTCTTTGCACAAGAATCTTGCACCATAAATGGTTAATAATTATGTATGATAAAAGATTGTGGCTCTGATCATAAGCCAGCTATAAAATAAAACAATATATGTGCGTAAATTACAATCAACTATGAAATAGAGCACAAGTCCATGTACGGATATGAAAGCATACAAGCGACTCGAGCATCTTGTAAAACTCATCAAAAGTACAAAAAAATTTACCTGATCTGACCACTTCTCCAAATGATAGGGCTTTCATAAATACCTGCAAACAAACAGTAAATGTTATTCATAGGGGGATGAGTCTTGGTCTCTTGGAGATACTATTAGAAACAAAACTAAGTTCATTAATCCACCAGATAGTTATATTAGACACCTTAGTTCCGATTTGCACTCCTGACAATGATCCATTTGCACCAACAGTTGTTTGTTTGTTACTCTTCTCCTGGAATTTCAAACAGATGTCGAGGGCACCAACTCCATGATCTATAAACACCACAAGAAGTATATAAAACTGAATGTGTAAGGGAGGCTAACATACCATTATTCAATAAAAAAATATTATGGGTTTGATCATACTTGACACTTGACAATTAGATTGTTCATAAAGATTATATTGACATTTGCCATCATCTTGACTCTTTCTGCCATAAGAAAGTCGATGGTTCAAGCAAAATAAGCTTTTACCCCTTCAACCAAGCCGTAAATCACCAAAATTCTATACAAACATGATAAGTGATGAATAAATGATATAATTATAGGACTATGCTTTACCTTCTAAAACTATAGGGCGACATTCATCTAAATAACTGTTTCTTTCAATCTATGTCCAAAATACTTACATGCCTCCCCAACAATTATCATCTCAATCATAGCATTATTAATTGGATATATCTTAGTTTGTTCTTAAATCTGCTTTTAGATCTCTCTCATAATTTCATTTCTCTGATACTCTACTTTGCAATCTAATTATGTCATTTTTTGGTGAAATCACAGCAAACCCAACACGCTCATATTATCCCATTCGTGAATCGAAAAGTGAATAAGAAAGAATTACAATTATACATGCTAACTAACGATAACAATAACATCTTTAATATGATATCTAGATGTACTCGACTATAAATGTTAAGCTATAACAAAACCAAAAGCTTTTTTTCCTGAGCAATGCCACTATAGGAAATTTCAAATTACAATCAACAAAAGAAAAAATCAAGAAAAAATACATCCGATCAACAAAAACATATATGTTTACATAAGAAATGAGAATCCAAGGGAGTAACCTACTTCAAGAAGTCTTCATCTGTTGTCAGTCTTCAATAGAGCTTGATCATTTTGTACCAGATTCCTGAGCTGGAAAGCAACAACGACATCAGATAGAAACAATAAAAAAAACTTAATTGAAACTCAAATTACACCCGCTCAAACCACCCATTTTTGATCAACTTAACACAAAAATCATTCAATAGGAATGCCTCGAAGTTAACATCAACAACACCATCATTTGTACATGGACAACAAAATTATAAGTAAAGAGTAAATCAAACAAAACTTTAGGGAACAATGCATAATCTTTTTTGTTACCAACAATATCAGATCCATGTTGAACGTTAATAAAATAGTATTCATCGAAAGCATTCCTCCATAAATTAAATGAAAAGTCCCCATTCTCCTGTCTCTAGGGTGCATTACGGAAAAAAAAAAGTCATAAACTGAAAAATAAATAAGGAAAAAAGTCCTAAAATGCCTATTACCTCGTGGCAGTCGAAAATTTTAATGACTCTTCACCCGTGAATCATCGAATTGAGAAAATTTCATAGAATCAGGGCTCACAATTACGGAATGAAATAATATATGTCATCCTTTTCTTTATGCTTTAACCCTGAATCTTCGAATTGCAAGAATACGGCTCAAAATTAGTGTAATGAAATTAATAATAATCGATTGAAAAGGGAACAACAAGAGCCAAAAAAGTTATAAAAAAAAACATCAGCGAAAAACAAAAAAGGGAATCGATTCCTTACAAACTATCGTAGACCCACCATCTTTGATTAAGAAACACCTTGCTAAGAGGGACTTAGGTGCTAACAGGTCGAAGCACGAACGATGTTGTGGGTGTGGTGTTAAATGATGATGGAAAAAAAACGAAAGAAACAAATCAGATGAATGAGTTTGACGTTTTACATCTAACTCCTGGATTTTATACGAAATAACATCAATTAAAAACCAAAATACACAGCAAAATAAATCAATAAAATAAAATTTTCAACCACCATCGTTACACTCGTCCTTCTTCACCACTAATACTTTTGTGCGATTGTGGACATGATGAGGGTCGATGATGATTGTGAAAATAAGGCGGTGGCGGTGACCCTCTAGGGTTTGAGAGAGAGAAGAAGAAGAGAGTGGAATTTTTGGAGACGTCAACTGGAAGAAGAAAGGGGAAGAGGTGGTATGGCGATTGGGAAGACGTGCGGGAGAAAACGAGGAAGTGGAGTACAGATGTCCCCTCCAGACTTCTTCAACATTAATGACTAAGCTTCAAAAGTAAAGAAAATGAAAATAATAATAATATAAAATAATAGAGAATGAGAAAACAGGAGGGATCGAAGCATTTGGATCACCCGCTGGTGATCTGTCATTTCCTGCAAATTCATCAAAATTCAAAAAAAAATATTACAAAAACTCTTTGCTAAATTCTGAAGCCTCTATCCACCTCCACTTATGTGAATTTTTAAGCCATAGGGCTTTTATATATATATATATATATATACTAGTAGAATACCCGTGCGATGCGGCGGCGCGGATTAGAGGTGTTGATCGGGTAAAATTTTCGGGTTTCGGGTCGGGTATTTCGGGTATTCTATATAAAAAAAATTACCCATTACCCTACCCAAATTAAATTCGGGTAATTCGGGTAACGGGTCGGGTAAGGGTAATTCGGGTATTACCCGATTTTTTTTTTTATTTTATTTTATTTTTTAATGGCACCTAAAAATAAATGTAATGAAATAAGTATATCGTGCTAAACTTTGAACATTGAGATTTTTACTTAATAATATTTGAGATATGAAGTATTCGTTTAACAATTTAGTCAAATCTAATAAGATGTTAAAAAACCAAATACTTAAAGAAATAATAACAACCAAAGCCTACCATTTAAATTACTTGATATCAATGTATATGCATGTATTTTGCATTTACCAAAAAACTCACGTCTTAAATCTAGAAAACATAGAAAACCATTACATAGTATGAAAATAATAACATATCAAGTTCCAAAAGACATTCATAAATATACTCGTCTTCTTGCACCTACTCGTTCTTCTTGCATCTTCACTACTTCATCTTGCTCAATTCTATATAAAAAAGTCAAATAATGTTAGTATTAAAAGGAAAAGATATTAAATTTACAATAACTAAAATAATGAATGATAAACAATTACCTTTGTCAATTTGTTGATTTTCTTCCCAATCTTTTTCATAATCGATTGTGTCACTTATGCTACTCCGAATCCAATCTTGTGTACAAATTAAACTTTCAACAATCTTAGGAGTTAAAGAACTCCTAAACGGATCCAACACCCTCCCACTAGTGCTAAAAACGGATTCTGAAGCTACGGTTGAGACAGGAATGACAAACACATCTCTTGCCATCAATGATAGAATCAGGAATCTTAGACTATTCACTTTCCACCAATCTAGAATACTAAACATTTCTGAGTCGTCTTCAACGCTTTCTTGCAAATACTTTTCTAACTCCCCAATTGATTCAACTATGTTCGTCTTCATCTTTTCTCTTAGTTTATTTCTCAATGGGGTATTAGGTGCCAAAAAATCTGGGTTTTGGCGTTTCCCTAGTATCGATGATGAAGTGGTATACTCGGCAGTACTTGAAGTGGAACTTGGAGAATGAATTCTAATATAATCATTATATAATGCATACATAGAATCCATGATATATTTCTTTTTGGCCTCCACCCCCGTTTTTCCATAACGATCCTCAAGTAGTATAACCAAATACTTTACTTTGTTCCTCGGATCAAGAATCAAAGCAAAGTAGAGCAATAAATTCATTTTTTCTATGTCGCCAAAACACTTATCAAACTTCAATTTCATGGCCAATGCAATATCACAAAGACTAGAATCGGAAATAGCATCATCCAAGAGCGTACGAATGGAATATATATCTTCAATGCATGTGTTTGATGTCACATAAAGTGTCCCGGAAATCCTCAAAGTAACATCATGAAAAGGTTTTAAAAAATGACATACATTCCTAACCCTTTCCCAATCGCTTGATGAAGGTATTGACAAACCCGTCTTTTCAATTTCGGACCGAAAATCAAATTCCTCAAGATCATATCTCTCAAAAGTTTTTTCGTAAGCTTGGGCAATTTCCAACATATGGTAAGTGGAGTTCCATCTTGTTGGCACATCTCTCTTCAAATGTTTTGTTATACCGGGATTAGCAACCTTAGCAAACTCGGTAAACTTATGAATTCTAGAAGGTGATTGCCTAATCCATTTAACCGCCCATCGAACTATCTCAACCGCCTTATCAACTTTTTTTATGCCATCTTGCACCACTAAATTTAAAAATGTGGGCAACACATCGAATGTGCATCCATTTCCCATTTAGAAGACACTTGTTGGAGTTTTGAAAACTTTTTTTCAAGAAGTCAATTGCCACATCATTTCGCACTTGCATTGTCAACAGAAATTGTGAAAACGTTTTCTATTTCCCACTCCATTAAACATTTCTCAACCATTTTCCCAATATCAACCCCACGGTGACTCTCTTGAGAGGAAAAACACAACACTTTTTTTTTTCAATTTCCATTCATTATCAATAAAGTGGGCGGTGAGACACATATAACATGATTGTTGTTTAGAAGTCCACGTATCGGTGGTCAAACATATTCTACCAACATTTTTTTTAATAAAGTCACGAATTTTTCTTTTTCATCTACAAACAATTGGTAGACATCCGTTGTGCTTGTACTTCTACATAGAACTTTAAACAATGGTTGATTAACACTATTGTAATACCTAAAGCCCGCACCTTCTACAAAGCTAAAAGGAAGTTCGTCAACTACCAACATGTGAGCTAGAGCTTTCCGACTCTCATTTTGATCAAATTTCCAAGATGACAATTTGTTTTCATCACCATGTTGGAAAGCTAGTTGTTTTTGTCCACCATTAAGTTTAGCCAAGTAAACTTTACATCTAGTTAAATGATATCCTAGATTTTTGGTCCCATAAACACCTGATTCGCACTTGTAATTCCCACCACCACAATGCTTACATTTGCATTTTTTAACACACTTTTCGTCCTTATACCTTTCAAATTCTTTCCAAACTTTCGATCTTTGGTTGAATTCTTTAGTTTTTTTTTTTCTTTTTCTTGTGGAACTTGATCATTGGTTGGGTTGTCAACTTCAATCGTCTCATCTTCTACTTCAATATAGTCATCCGTTGTTGACATTTAAAACAAGAGAAAAAAAACATATTAGCAAATAGCAATAAACAATATAATAGAAATGTGAGCAACAAACATATTATCTTATTTTTAGTAATATACAACAAATCTAATAAAAGTTCTATTCAATTCAACAAACATATTATCTTATTTTTAAAAATATACAACAAATCTAACAAGAACTTTTAATTATAAAAATTATTGATTTTTATTTTTTTTGTTGTTTTTAGGTGAGATCTGCTACACTTGATACATGGCTACCAGATCAGATTGCATTTATACCGAGTAAGTTGTTATATCTTTTACACGAGTTATTAACATTTTTAACCATTGTATGTCTTTAGATTTTTCAAAGAAATCATGGTAATTTGTAAAATATTGCCTCCTAAATACGATAGAGTTGAGATTGAAAATTTCGTTCGTGCAAAGTATGTTTTCTCTTTCTTGCTACAATAAAATAAAAATAAAGTAGGGTGCTATAATATAAATAATAATAAATGATTTTTGATCAGGTATGTAGACAAGAGATGGATTTCTCGAGTGCAGAAAGTTGCATATAACAGAAGCAGCCTCTTAAGTATATTTTCTGTTGTTTTAGCTTGTGCCATGTGTATTACAGTCTGCAATTTCTCATTTTACATTGCATATAACAGAAGCAGCCTCTTAAATCTTTAAATTTTACACAATACCAAAATTGCCCTCCCTCCCTTCCTTCCTTTTGTGTGTGTTGTTTTTGTAAACATGATTTTGTAATTAATTATTGGCATCACAGTGAACTAGGTTTTGCTCATATAGTATGACTTTGAATTAGATGATAGGTTTTGTGATCAATGTAAGTTGTTGGTGCTCTGTTGAGATGAGGTCATTTGGATGCAAAGTTGATTATCATGTGTGGCTAAGTCATTAGAACTCCACATTGTAGTTTATTCTTCTTATTTTGATTCACGTATTTATTTCAAATTCCAAACAGATTATGATTCATGAATAATCAAGTAAAGGGATAAAATCACGAAATTTAACTGTAAATTAAAGAATTTGGTAGTTATCACTTACATTCCTGGAGGTGACGACTCTGACGACTGGCGACTGGCGAGGAAGACGACTGGCGAGGTGACGACTGGCGACTGGCGAGGCTGTGACGAGCGACGGCGACGACCAAGACCGGTGACGAGGCAGGGACGACCGGGGCGGAGGAGGCAGGGTCGACCGGCTGCCGGCTGGAGTTGATCGGTCGGTGATGAACGAAGCTGCGATGCGACTAGCGAGGGTTTTTTGACGATAAAATTGAACGAGGGAGGCAAGAAGCTGGGATTTGGATTTTTGTCTTTTGGTAATCGGAGAATAGGAATAAAAGATATTGGGCTATCATTATTTGTTTAATAAATTTTCGGGTAATCGGGTATACCCGAAACCCCAAACACTTATCCTTTATCTGACCCCAAAAAAAATCGGGTTACCCAGATACCCGAAAACATTTACCTGATACCCGATTTACCCGATACCCGAAAAAATCGGACGGGTAATTCGGGTAACGGGTATTTTCGACAGGGCTAGCGCGGATAGTTCCTTTCGGCAGATAATTTCCATGTGGCGATTAGTTTAGTTTCATTTTAACGTCAGATAGTTCGTTTCAGCATCCTTCTGCGCGGATTGTTTTCTGTAGGATTGTTCATCTCGGTGATTAGATGTCGGGGGAGGTTACTTTCTTTCGGCATATTGTTTCGGTTAAAAATAAAAGTATGTTGCTAATTTGCAATGCGACGGGCGTCGTGTTAAGGCAGTGATTTTTTTTTTCAGTGAGTAGTTTGGTTTCGACGGTTATGATTTAAGGTGACAGGTTTTGTTTTTATCATAATGTTGTGTTTTAAAATAAATGTATGATTCTGAAATGTTAGTTGTTTGTCTATTCATTTTGGTTTAATCAATTTTTTAATATGAAAAATATTAACCGAAACAAACCAAATAATGGTCGATAGAATTCAGTTTTAGTTAAATTATTTTGTTAGTTTATTCTAGTTTAACTTGTTTAGTTTGATTTACGGTTAAATTCGAATAACATATGTTAAATAAACTTTTGTTTGTTAAATGTCATTCTCTTGGATATATTATAGTAAATATATGCATGATGCGTCGGTGCGAGATAGTTTCTTTTGGCGATTAGTGTTTTTTTCGGGATAAAAATACAGGATCATGTGATTAGTTTTTTTTCTCAACAGATGACGAATAGCTTACTTTAGCGGCCAACGGACAATTTTTATTTGACGATTAGTTTTTTTTTTATTGTAAACACGTCAGTCAGTTAACAAAAAGCCATCTGATGGTGGTTATTTTTATTATCAGCATGAATAGCTAAATGTAAACCAAGTTTTTTTTATATAAGTTAAATAAAAATTCGTTAACATTATAATTAAGCATTTATTAACGTAATAATTAAGTATTCATATTACAAATATTGTAATATGTAATTTAAAATATACAATGTTTAGAAAGGTACAAAAAATGACTATCGATAAATTAACATTTGAATTAACTTCTTAAATTTAGAAAAGACAAAACTTCAAAAATGGTCACTGTAGTTTACGAAAATATCAAGTTTCGTCCCTAAGTTCAAAAAACCTCACAGATGGTCCCTGTGGTTTCAAAAACCAACTGTTTGTGGAAATGCCCCAATGACATCAATTTGTTCACACCTGGTTGTTTCTTGTTTCACAGCTTCACCATAACGAAGATGAAATGTGTGATTGGAATCGATTTTGGAGTCGAATTGGTTGGAGTGTTCGATGGGAAGTGGCTAATTGCAAATGATAAATGTCGAATGGGTTGCTTGTAAGTCGAACACAGTTGGAATACAATCTAATTTGGTGACATCGAAATCGAGTTGGAGTTAAGTCGAACTAGTATGATTTGGAAGTTGTATTCGAAATCGATAGTCAATTGGCGTCGATTAGAGTCGAATGGAGTAGTTTAACTTGTGCATTGAGAATTCGACCAGTGATGCTCTTCATTCGCATCTAGTATTGAGTTTGGATCGAATAAGAATCGCTTGGGGTCGAACGTGTGTTGGGTTTGATAGTCAAAAAATCGTGTTACTTGGGGTCCAAATCGCATTTTGTGGTATCGTATTGGAGTAATTTGAATTGCACCTTGCAATTTTGACTGATGTAAGGTGAGGTCGAATCAGATTTGCATCTGTGAACATATTTTGAGTTCATGGTCGAACAACAAGTACTTGGCGCCGAAATTTCCCAAACACCCCCTTAAAACCTTCGAAATTTTCCAAACCTAAAACTTAAATAGAAGAAACCTTCCAAGACCAAAAGGATTCACACATCTTACATAAACTATTTCAAATATATCGCTAAGCCGAGAGAGAAAAAGCATCGGCTTTCTAAAAAAACAAAACTAAATCTACATACATATTGCGAAATGAAAAAAAAAATTCTAAACCAAAGTAAATCACATATCAATTTTTGTACCTATCATCCATTCCAGATCTGTCATCGTAGCTACACACACAATTTCAGATTTGTTAACAAAATATTGCAAAAATTAAAACATTTGCAGATTATCGGATCAAGAAAGATATGAAGACGAAAAATCTTATTCTTAGCAAAAATGTCTCAAAGAAATCAGATCTGGATACATAAAGTTGTTTATCTGAAAATGTCTTGGAAGGCAAAGAACAACGGTGGTGACGACGGTAAGTAGAGGAGAGTGGTGGTGAGTGTACGATAATGGAAGCCTTTTGTTTTCAGACCATTCTTCTAAAAGGAAACCTTGAACACCTTTCCTGTTGATATAACAATTTCTGGAAGAAAAAAATATCAGTTTCAAATGGAAAGTTGAACACGATTTCGAAAACTTAAAAATCACCAAAACCTTATGCCTCTTTTGCATATAGTGTGTGGTTCGTTTGATGAAGACTTCAACCTTCTTGGCCAGAAGATCAGAGAGTGGTGGTGAAAATGTGTGGGCAACAATAGATCTGGATGCTAGGTTAGACACGAAGATGAGAAAGGGATACACAAAATGATGGGAGGGTTTCATGGAAAGAGAAAAAATACGTCTGGAAAAAACATTAGGGATAAGATCTATTTTATTTCTCTCTAATTCAAATAATTTTGAATGTGCCCCGACATTTAAGATGCCACCCAACTTTTAAGATGCAGCCTAAACTTCTCCGTCTTTTTTCCTTATGCAATGATTTTGATTAGTTTAAGACTTTGATTATGTATGTTTGATTTTGATTGGTTTAAATCTATTGATATGGATTACTATCCTAACCATTCAAATAAAATCTAGAGGCCAAAAATTTATCTCCTTGTTTTTAAGACTTTGGTCTTAAAATATGTATTATGTATGTATTATAAAGTAATATTATATATATATATATATATATATATATATATATATATATAAATTCATCTTGAAATTACCACCTGACTTTCCATGACATCTTTTTCATTATTTTTTTGATTCACATGTTACTTGACTATGTGAGTATAATGGACGGGTATTGTTTCAAACCAAGTGAGTTAGAACCTGATCACAACAAACCAGTTGAGTTAACCAAATAAAGGCGAGTACATGTGAATTAACTACAACCAAGAAAATACATATCACTTAATTATGGCTTGAAAAGGATTGATCATCACATTGTGCAGGTTTTAGTTCAAACACATTCGTTTTTTAATTTTCAGTAAATTTCATTTTTAGTCCCTAAGCTATAGAGAGCTCTCTCGGTTTGGTCTTATTAATTTTTATTTTTTTTCTTTTTTCCGTCCATATAATACTATTTTAAAGCTTTTTTGCTCCCTGGGTCATCAAAACTCAACATACCAGTCTTTAAATTTGTGAAAAGAATAGTACCATTTTCTTTTGGTTTGAAAAGAAAATTATTTGCATTTGTGGTCCTTGTGGTACTATTATCGAACCATGTGGTCATGTGTTGTCAATTTTACAAAATTTAATGATAATTGTTAACTATTTTAAAATGATCAAGAATGGAAAAACATAAGCGGAGGGCAACAACTTTCTTTGATGTTTTTGGGTTAATTGCAAAAACGTAAACTTCATTACATGAAATAGCAATACACTTTCTGTTTTTGCAATTAATCCTAAATGAATCCTGTTGATTCAAGCAATTAATCCAGGAGAAGGTCTGAGGCAGTATTACCTAACTTGATTGATTTTATATTGTAAGTTTTGAAAAAATTGACACTATATGTTTATGAATCCTTTTAACTCCATACTTCATCTTTCCCCAAATGAATTATTATAACCGGACGAGATTCAACCATTGTACATAACTTAACCGTTTCCTAATTTTTTGTGTGGTATGAGTGATAAGCATTGTTAGTTTTCCTTTTAAATGAGCTTTCATCGAGGACAATGAATGCTTAGTGTACACCCTACATTAATAATCCTATATTACAATTTTATTAGTCTTGTTTAGTAAATTGTTATTTACATTTCCATTTTATTACTCTTTTTAGTAGGATTCAGCACAATATATATAGTAACATGAAGATGAAGCTGGCACCTTGGCTGAGATATCAGATTGGTTGCGGAAGTTGTTTGGCTGAGAAAGCAGCTTAGCTGTAGAATTTTTGCTATACTGACCCTTATTTGGAGACCCCTCTTCACATGTGTGTTTTATATAGTCTCATTTTCTATTTATTTTTAATGTGTTGGATTATTAGCGACTCATTTTTTCTTTATTTTTAATGCATTATAATGTAACCAAGTTATTTTTGAATTTCTTTTTCTTTCCATAGAGGATGTCACAGACGAATCTAAATTTTTGGTCATCCTCCCTTGATAAAAGTCGATTTTAGATTGGGTTCATCTTTTGTTGTTAGACTATGAAAATGTATTAATTTCTCCAAATCATCAATACAACAACCCCGTAAATGAGATTACTTATTTCCTCTTAAGAAAAAGGAATCGTGCAATCAATTTTAAAGTTAGTACTTTTTTTCCGGTTATTTTGTATGGTTAAAAAATCTACATACTTGCGTACTTGCATTGATGTCTTTGGTTAATTGCAAAAATAGAAAACACATTTCAAGAAATAGCAATGTACTTCATGTTTTGAGGTCTATCATTTCTAGGCCAGGCCTGACTTTGTAGTTTAAAAAAATGTTTATGAATTGGTTTTTTAATAGGAATGTACTTTAATAATAATAAAAAAAGCTTTTAGATCTTATTTTTGATTGTGTATCATTTCCAGTTTAGGTCTAAGTTTATCGAGTTTTTTTTTTATATAAAAAAATGTTTCTAAAATGGAAATTTTGATAGAAATGTCAAAGGTTCAATTAGGGACAAGGGCATGATCAGAAAGTTGAATATGGTTTAAGAATTAAGATGTTTTGAGGAAGGGGCATACATGGAAAAGTCAAAGGTTATTTGGGGTTTCAAGAACTACTTGGACACAATATTACTGACATCTCTTCAATGATGGGATCGAGTTCTAGAGGAGTTACTTGAATTTTCTCTACCTATTACTCTCAAGAAGAACTGGAAGTACGTTGCTATTTCTTGCATATGTCCCCTATTAGGCTAAATGCAAGAAATAACAATGTATTATCATTTGTTTGTCTACATGTACCATACCGTATCACTTTCATTTCTATTTTTTTTTATCTTTTTCTTTTCTTGTCGTCTCTAACTATTGTAAACTAAAAGTACATTGGTTTAATAAGAAAAAAGTATTATCAAATTAAATACTTTGGTGGGAATATTTGGATGTCAACTTGCTTTTAAGTTTGTTGATAAAAAAATGAACCTTAGCAATGTTCTTTTTTTGATACCACGCCTTACTTATTCAGTTTTTTACCTTGGTTAAATGCTTTGATATAGGCAATACACAATTGGTCCCTATGCAAAAAAAAAAAGACATTACAATATTGGTCCCTATAGAGAAAAACATTAGGTAATTTGTCCTTGTGGCAGAAAAAAGATTACATAATTCATGTTAAAGCTGTTATTGGTTCTGTGTGACCATCAATTAAAATAGTGATAATTTTTTTCTTGTAAACAATCAATTAACATGAAAATAATTTAAAACTTTCTTATAACACATTTATAAAATTAGAAATACTTGACAAAAAATGGAAGATAGTAACTAAGGGTTAACTCTTCATTCATGTCATGTGTTTGAATAGCATTCTAACATTTTATAAGATTATAGTAATGTGTACTAATTGTGATTCTGTTTATGCAAAAGTACATTGCTATTTACTTTCAAAAAGATAGAAAGATAATTTGATAGATTTGTCATGTACATAACTAATATAGAAAGGAATGAAAGCAATATGCTATAAAAATAAGATAAACCAATATTATTGTTTATTCAGTTGTCAACCTGTCCAGCGGACGGGTATGACACTAGTTAAATCTGGCCGAAGTTAGCAATAGTGTTGATAGTGACTTTTAGTAAAATATACTTTTGGTCCTCGTGGTATATCGAATTCGCTACAAGGTCCAAAAATACTAATATTTTTGCATTTTCCGTTCCTATTCACTATTTCTTAGCATTGAAGTTAGGAATAGTAAAACAGTATTTTTTAGAAAAATACACTTTTGGTCCTTGTAGTATATCAATTTCACTACAAGGTCCAAAAAACAATCTTTTTGCATTTTTCGAACCTATTTCACTGTTTCTTAGCATTTTAGTCCCCGAATTACAAGCCAATTGAAGATGAGTTATAATGACCGCTCAAAGTTATGAAAAAAATGTATGTATGGATTGGATACATAAAATTATTTGTAGTTTTAATTGTGTTTTATGTTTGAAGGATTTGAATATCATTGGTTGTTGTTGGGTACCAACTTCATCATTAATAGCTACGGGTAGACTTAAATGTTAAACATCTACATCAAAAGAAACAAAAAAAATTAATCGTTTAAATTCCCAATATACCCTTTGTAAAACTACTATGTTTCACCAATTGTTAGATATGGTGTTTTGTTGTTAAATCAAATAAACAAACATAACTTTTTTTTTTTGAATTGTACACAACGTATTTTTGGTAATCTTTGTCAAATATGTTATAACACAATACCAAAAAATTTAAAAAAAGAAAAGAAAAAACGACTCGCGGCGAAGCCCGAGTTTTTACTAGTTTTTAGGAAAATAATCTAACCATTTTCTTTTGGGTGTTTTTTAAAAATATGACTTTTTAAAAAAAAATCACCACTCAGAATTGGCATTCTGGAACATATTTTAGACTCATTATCGGGTGGGCCGGCCCATTACTTTTGCCTCCGGAATGGAAATTTTGGACTATCCGTCCGTGTTCTGGATCAAGAATTTGAAATTCAAATTCTGGAATATAATTTGAAAAAATCAAGACCCTCGGCTCATTCCGGATCTTGTTCTGACTTTTCAATCGATTCCGACACGCGACCCCGATCCTGATTCTGATCTCCGACACGCAACTTCATCTCCAGCATGCAACTCCAACATGGAAGAAGACCACTACGACCCCGTTATTTTATGGTTACGTTCTTCACTTCAAAAACCTAGTTTTTTTTTTTTTTTATAACGTGATTATTCATCTACAATTACTATTTCGGAATGCGTAGAACACCTCCAGGACGAACTGACAACGTTTCAGAGTTTAAATTACAGATGTCATTGCTCTAGGACAAACTGAAAAAATAGTTAGATGTTTGGGTATTGTTAATTTACATCGAAATGTATTGTTCCATATGTCATTATGTATATGTATGCACCCAAGGCATATATATGTATCTGTATGCACAAAGCATATGTATATATCTGTATGCACAAAGCATATGTATGTATATATATGCACCCAAGGCATAGGTATGTATATGTATGCACAAAGCATATATATGTGTCTCTATGCACTAGGCATATGTATGTATAAGTATTAAAACCATTTGTAAAAGATTTATAATATATTTACAAAAGGTTTGAAATCCAAGTTTTTACTAATATACAATTGTCCTTGAAATATAAAATGAAAATTTATAATATCATATTAAATAAATATTAGCCGTTTGAAGTTGTAAATTATATCAAATTATATGAAATGAGTATTGAAGATATATATCAAAATCCATTTATACGAAACAATAGATAACATATAGATAATAGTC